CTTAAGGAAGTTTTTCATATGTAGACTCAGATTATTTACATTTATAGCTCACTATCCAGAAATGGAGTGACAGGTCAATATATTACTGTAGCAGATGCTATGAAGTGTAGCTATTATTTCATCTCTGTGGAGCTGAAGTTCTCTAATGTAGGAAGTTGGGAGATGGATACTAGGGTGCTAGGTAATGAGTGAGGGTTCAGACAGATACCATTTCATCTCATTACTGGCTTCTTTACCATGTACTCTGTGTGACTGAATGTTAGAACAGAACCTTGATTTGAGAATTCTGGGTTCAAATCTGACTCTCCTTTTCTAACTGTATGCCTTAGGGCAAAGTCCTTGATTTTCCTGTCTACTTCCCCATTAGAAAATGAAGAAATAACAGCACTCATGGGGTTTATAAATCCTTGGAATGGTGAGTATACTTCTAACTGCTTGCATGAGCAAGTGCAGTTTCAACAGACTCTTGTTGAACTTATGAAGAGATTTTTTTTCTTCTGAGCAATTCTTGTACCTCTTCCCACAGCTATTATCGCAAGAGCTCACCCACTTTGCCTTGCAGGGTGGCCCAATAACTGCATGTGTTTAAAGAACTGTGTGTGACCAGCTCTTGATTCCAGAAAACGCCCTTAGTCATGCTCAGGGATACAGCCCTGGGGGACTCTGGGCAAATGTGAAGTTTGACTATGTTCCAGAGATTGCTTAACAGGCCAGCTTTCTTCCAGTTTCCCTATGCACAATCTCTTAGTATACATAGTATACATAGTAAAAGACTCACAGTTTAAAAGAAGTTGAATCCAACATTTTTGAGTACCACAGGCCACCGTACTTAGTCTCACCTAGTAGGAGTCTACCACATTTTGTAGGTAAGGAAATTGAACCGAGAATGATAAGATACTTTGTCCAAGGTCAGACAGCTTGTAAGGAAATTCAAACTTTTTTTTTTTTTTTTTTTTTTTTTTTTGCTTTTTTTTACTATTATTACAAGCCTTATTCCTGTTCTCCTAGGAAGGTCATTTACAGGGCAACTGAGGAGGAAGTGAGTCATTTACAAAAGGATGTCATATGAACAAG